TAACTGTTGCTTCTCTTTCGTTGAGATACAAATCTCTAACGGTGAACTCCACAAAGAGCCCGAAAGTTCAGACAAGTAAAATTATACTTCCGGTGATCGAAACGTCTTCTCTTTCTTTATCTACACACTGAGTGACAGGCCGGACTGCCGAAGTAACAGGATTAGACTGGTTGCATATCGTTCTACAGTAGTCGCCGGTTTTTAAGCCCACGGTTAATAGGCCCAACCGCTTATTAAGCCCAATTTGGTCTGGGCCCAGGTGGGCGTAATAACCGGCGACTACTGTATTGATTAAGGCTACAACCACTATCACCACAACCGCCACTATCAGCACTAGCACCCGCTTCTACCAAAAATTTAAAACTACATTGAATTTCTGGCCTAGAAACCACCGACACCATCCGGATGAGAAATCATACATGCATCCACAATCGTTAAGTTTTTCTGATCACTGAAAAAAACCTTCATCTCATTTTAATATTGTTAGGAAACTAGAGCCACGACAAAATTTTAAAATGTCAGGATCCAAAAATGGTAATAACCGCCGTTGTTTAGTATAAACGACTGGGCAGAAGGCAAGCAGTCGGCATTTTGTCGAAGCTTCAGTTGTGTGACGAGCAAGGCCAGTGGGGAGAAGAGAGAGAACACAGACGAGAAAAAAAATGGAGCCTTAGCAGGAATCTAACGATAAGTAACTACAAGCACAGCGTCCGTAAGATTGCGTGCTCTAACGGGCAATCGTCGCGTCCAGAAATGGGAACGACAATATGATCAGTCGCTACGTGCCGACGAAGCTCAGTCGTCTCGCCTGAAAGCAATCCGATTAAGATCGAGATGGTCCTGGCGATAACCCGAATTATTTTCGGAGAATATTTACCTTATAGGCAAAGTCGCTCTCACACATTTAGTTCGTACAGTAAGGTTCCTATGCGAGTGGTCAACTGAAAAATCCCCAACTGCGACAGGCCCTATGAATTCACCAGTCTCCGGAGCATACCGCTATATCAACAGATGTGGAAAAGGGATGGCTAGACTCACCGTCTCTTGGGGGAAGACTCCGACAAGGAGGGCGGAGCCGGAGTAGTGTTCAGGATGGTCATTGAGCCAGCTGAGTGACATTACCTTGTTGCGAGTTGGAAGATCAAAGACAGTGAGGCAATCAAGATTGCCAGCTACGGGAGTGAAAGGACAGAAAAGACCAAGAGGTACGTGAATATAGGACGCTCAACGCAGGGTCCAAATATTTAGGTTTAGTCTGAGGAGCTTTGATAATCATCTGGAATGGGCGAAGCATGTAAAAGGAGGGAAGGTAGAAAAGTGAGAGGAAGTCGGGCGGGGGAGGTGGTGCGGAGAAGAAACGTGGAAGGTATGTTCCACCTTTGATTTAATAATGTTATTTAAAATGCAGATTATATGGTTAGTATTCAAAGTAAAATTTGACGAGCCCTATATTGCCTCTTCTCTTATAACGCATTATTAGGGGTTTGACAGATTTTAAACAACTGCACTGACCCAGGTGTGAAAATTACGTCGCCTCGGTGGGATTCGAAGCAGGGAAGGCTTTAGTAGAGCCAACGCTGAAACCAACTGAGTTACGAAGGTACGCCGAAGACGCTGAATTTACTTAAACATCAGTCGATTTGCTTTCCTAGCTTTACTGCACGTATGTAATCTACCAATAAGGGGGAAGTACAGCAGACGCGTCTCCGTCACGTTCCCACCGCCCTTACGGCGGCCAAGGTCTGCTACACCCATCTTCCTACGTTGGGTCAACTTGGGCGGCTATCCACCCCCGATTGCGGCCTCAGAACAACAACTTCCGAGGGTCACTCGCTGTACTTTGGCTCAACTAGGCAGTGGTTACTCACTGGCCCTTCGCCAGTACCAACACCGATTCGACCCGTTCATACCTGACTGCTGTCCCGACGGCGGCGTTTCTCCACATGACTGTCAGCATTTGTTCACCCGCAGTTCCCGACCAGGCACCCAACTCACCACCGTGGACTTTCGGCTTAAGCAGGCTGAGGTTGCGGTTTTTCTCCGTCTCCCAACTGCACCCAGTTTAGAACCCGGTGGGGACTCCTGATTCAACAATGGGCTGCCAACCAACCAACCAATACGGATACAGTAAGCCGACTGACAGGCACGATTTCCCAAGTAATCATCTAGAATCCACCAGGCTAACTTTAACAATTAGGGGTTTGGCAAATTTTGAATAATTCTACTGACCCTATTGTGAAGAATGCAGGGCCTCGGTGGGATTTGAAACTAGGTCAGCAGGGAGCGTTTTAGTACAGCTAACGCTCTACCAATTGAGACACGAAGGCACACAGAGAGCGCTGAATTTAATTACACTTGGGTCGATTCCATACGTGCAATAGGCTCGGCAAGCACAAAAGTAATTGTTCTTGTACTCATTTGATCGGAAATTACATCTTTTATAATCGAGGGGTATCCTTCTGTTTTAAAAAAATCATTATGACATTTTCGAAGACTGCAAAATATCCATGCATAAGCTATCATACTATTCCTTTTATTAATGCTGCTTGTAAAGAATATTATATGGTCACATTTATTACCAAGTTTGTCACGCCCTATGTTACCTCTTCTTCATAGCCTACATAACTTTAACATTCCCCTTAAACGAAAGATATACACCCAGTGGTTTGGAAACACTGAAGGTAGGTGTAATAGCTGGTTGGGTTCCGTTTTATTCAGGCGTTAATCATTTTTTTAAATGAAAGGTATCCCCTTTTCGAGTATAAAATTCCAAGGAGGCATACTTTTTTACCAAGTGAATAAAAGAAAGAATATTTTCACGCACGTTTTCTACTAAACGCTTTGAATTTTAGAGGGCACTTAAATCAGTGGGAATGCATACTGCTCACGTAGTTTTTATTTTACAGGGTAATTTTTGAAGATTGCCGGATAGAAGCCTGTTCAAAAGCCGACATATTGACGTGACCGAAATATCTTAGAATTTTATGGTGGAGTAATTAATACTACATGTCTACTTCAATAATTTACTTATAGCCGAAATTGTATTTAAGAATTTCGGTTAACATGTCATGAGATAACATATTTTCTGTAGGCTTCACAAAAACATTCACAGGCCTCGAAGGTACTTTCCAGCCGGCTTTTTTGTCCACCAGGCTGTGTCCATTACTCTCAGCAAAGCGCTGTATGGCCGCTTTTTAAATCCGGCAAATGTTCATTCATCACGTACCATACCTTGCCACTTAGTACTGCCAATTGTAAATAACACTCCATGGCCCATATCCATTGCCAAATTTTACGGGGCTTATAGTATTATGTAATATTTTCCTTAAACGAAAGTCATACATTTTGTAATTTAGAAATGCTGAATACAGGTGTAACAGCAGCCTGGTTTCAAAATGTTTTTAAAACCGAAAAATCTATTTCACAAGTACACATTTTGAGGAAGAAGAAAAAGAAGTCATTTGCTGCCAAATGAGTACAAGAAAGAATATTCTGTGCATGTTTTCTAAAACATATGCTTGAATTTATTAGGGCATGGACAGGCAAAAGGAAAATGCCTACCTATTATGTAGCCAGTTTGAGAGAATGCATTTTATGTTGGTCGAAAAGACACTTATTCAAGAGTCAGCGCCTTGGTTTGACCGAAATATCTTTGTTTAGGATGCATGTTAAGTAGTATTACAACCCTACTTAAATAGTCCTCTTCTTATGAAAAACGTAGTTCAGAATTTTGCTTAAAATGTTACAACCTGAAGTGTGCCTGTCCAGCAATAAATCTGCCGTTGTGCACAATCGCTAGCCTGATGCTCAAGACCTTTTCGGAAAGATCCGATGAGAATAGTATGTCACCAACAATCTTTTGGGTTTGTCCGAGCTATGGAACCTAGAAAACTCGACTTCTGATCCAAATCAGTTTTGTTTGCAGTAAAACAATTTTATTCGGTCTACTTAATGGTGGTATGTTCTTGCTTGTTGAAAAATTGCCCTCTACACTGGGTGGTATACGAGTGGAATACTGAAATTGCATAGATGTTTGCTAAACCTACAATCCGTGAAACGAAATACGGCAACGGTGCCCCAACGTCCGCCCAGGGCAAGAAGAGTCCGATTCTCATTCAAGCCGACGACGCAGTAACCTGCAAATAGGCGGTCCAGTCGAAGATTGTTCTGGCCATCGCAGACATCCTCAACAATAGAACTTGGCGATGACATCAAATTTGGGTGCTGCGTAAATATCTGACGACTGTTAAGCACCCGTGCGAGAGTCAAGTTGAAGGACGGGTCATCGTCTGTAGACGAGGACTTTGTATTGAGCAGGTGACTGGAAAAGGGGAGGAGTGAGAAATAAGTCAATTATTAGTCACAAAATGAGTCACCCTCCAATTAATTTGACAATTCTCAGTTGCCAAATAGCATCCTAGACACCTATTACCCTTCTAATTATGAACAATGTTTTGTGTGAAGTTCTGGTAACCTCGGGATTTCCTATTCAACCCTGGTACTGCTCTGTGCTATCAACTCTTAAGCAAACTCGACTGGCTGGTAACGGCTAATGAGCCAGAAATTGTCATTCTGGCTTCCCTTGCCTTTTCACAGCAATCTTCATCTGCCCGAACTATTAGCCGTTGTGGGCGAAGTAGTTGGCCTCGAGGGTGAAACCCAAGATATAACGGAACGAGCCCCGTAACCGATCGTTGGGCATTCATCAACCAAGGCAAACTGCATTGGTAGATCAAATTTGAAAAAGTCAGAATTCCGGGATAAGGATAAGCGTTCATCTTCTGCTCACTGGAATAAATTTGTAGATTTGATGACGTTTCGGACAGCAGGGGCGACTGTCCCTTGTCGAAGCCAATACTGACTTTATCGATCAGTAAGTTTAAAGTTGCGGCTCTGTGTGCTGGCCTTGGGC